AACATTATAATTTAGAAAAACAGAAATGCAAAAACTTTGTCTTTCTCACTCCCTGTTCTGGAATGTCTTCAGATCAATATCTCCAGCGGCAAATCGACATGGACATTTCCGCAAGTGTCATGGATTCATATAATTATGGGGGAAATTGTTGATTCCGTGCGTTAGAGTGATTCAATGCTGTGTTTGTTGTTTTTTTATATATATAATGCCGGACAGATTTTTGCATTGTGATCTATTTTACTAAACGTCAGCTCGCTTTGTACGTGCTGTCGCAGCGTCTAGTTTTGTTGAGACTTTATTTTCCACTTTAACACTGCCTTGTTTGTAAAGAGTCGAATAGCTTTCTTATTCACTGCAATCTCCTTAGTGTCAGAGATTATTTAAACGAAACGTATCTGATTACTACTGATATGGAATTGCAGAAATAAGGATCTGTGAAATCCCGAGAGCCTTGTTTTCATAATTCAGCACAACGATGGTGGTGGATGTATATTCCGAAGTTCTTCGGGGATACTTGCGGGTTGCTGCTCTTGTTGATCCAGACTACAGTATATCTGCAGTGAGAACCTTTTTAAACATGCGAGGCAACAGAGCAAATACATTCCTGAGTGCCGCAAGTGTGGATTAATTTGTAACCGGCAAGAGGGGAAACTAGCAGTATAACTTTCATTTTTACACGTTTATCAAAGCAACTTTGAAGCGTAAATAAAATCTGTGGAAAAATCAATAACATTTACCAGCGATTACTTAAGAAGTGGAGCGATGAAAGCAAGTGTGTCAAGTATTAGACTGCATTACTCTGTTTTTTGTTATTGTGCCATACGTCCCTATGGCGTGCACAAAAACTATATGTGCCTTCCTACATGTAATCAATACATAAACTGAGTCTGATTACAGTTTGGAATGATTGGTGCAATTAGGTTGTACAGGATGTTATATACTATATAGTGTGTAGCTGAGTACAATAAATTAAATTCCAGTGCGTATTATCATCTTTGCAAATATATTCAATTTCTTGAATTAAAGTAAAACTCTACGTAAATTACAAAAAGCTGTCTTATCCAATGTTAAAATGTTTTACACGTTCATGAGGCGTCCTTTACAGGTTATATAGTTCCATAATATATATTGTCCAAGTATCACTTGCGTCGTACCCAAAAATATGTTCAATCGCACGGGGTCTTCGGTTCCCATGCGCCTCATAGCATAAGCGCAAGCATTTTATTGGTCGGACAACGTAGCATATGATCTGTGCAGATATATCCAGGTGGATAGTTGCATTTACAAGAAACGGCCGATCAAAAATAATTGGAGTATTCTTGAGCACCTTTAAAGTACTGTATATAATCAGCTTCTCATACTTTGGCAATTTGCTGCCAATCCACGATGGTGTGTAACAAAAGCAGAATCTCACAGTTTGTGACACACACAAAAACCTATAGCCTGCACTGTCATAACGTTGTTTACAGGCTTCACCAGAAGAGAAATTACAACTCGTAATACACGTTAGGACAACACCTTATTAATCCAGCTGTACAGCTACATTATTAAAATCAATGTTTTGTTTCTGCTTCATTTACGGGACATGGTCGTAGCTGTCTAGGCCAATATATATAGTTATGACATATAATATCCTGCACATAATGGGATATTAGTACTTGATTCATCTAACATATATAACATTTTAAAACTTAATTTACCTTTTTAGTGATAATCTCAGTAGACATTTACAAAATCAGCGCATGCATAAAAGCTAACGTATCATCATTAATATGCACACGAATAAGATAAGTCCTGTGTTCTGATGAAGAGTCGCCGGATTCAAAACGCTAACAATGCTTTCTCCCACAGATGCTGCCAGCAATTTGTTTTGGTTTCAGATCTCCAGCATCCGCAGTTCTTTGTTTTATATTAACATAAGGCCTGTTTAGCAGCAAATATATGTTGGCTAGTTAATATAAATATCATAATAAAAGACAAAGTTCTTTGAAAACACGATCTTTATTGAATAATTTATTGGATCACTCAATGTTACGAAAGTTAAAATGTTTTATAATTAGGTTTCAAAGGCAATGGTGTTCACACATAAAACAGGCAAGGTTAAAAAAATTGTTTATTTCAACTTAAAACAAAACTTCCATTCATTGAGGATCAATGTTAAACAAAACTACATTTTTCTTTCTTTTCCGTAGCAACTATTGCCATTTGATTACAGCAGTCTGGAGATAATTTTCTTCATGAAAACCACTTCACAAACCGTACAATGATCATTATGCGCCACTAAAATTTCTCGGCCTAGAAAGCGTCTGCATGTTTTAAATGCATTGATAGCCATAAGTTTTTTTTTAAGAAAAGAAACACTTATGCAAATATATACTGCACTGATGGAATATGTCTCTTAAAAACTAAATAAAATAGGAAAAAAGGCGAGATCAACCTTGTTAGAAGATGACAGGATTGAGAAATATACATATCTTGCCCTTAACAAAGAAAGCAATCGTCTTTCACATTTGCTTACCTAAGCTTGCTACTGAGAGAGAAAAAAAAAATCACAGCCGAATACAAACGCCTTCTGCATATACATTTAACATGAGTGTAGCTTCAGCCGGTGCAGCCTGTATGTATCAGTGCGACGACAGAACCGGAGCCCGGGAATGCAATCCCAGGCCAGACACTCGCGCCACTCACGTCTCCCGGGATTCTGAAAGCCGATTGGACGGACGTGCGGTCGCCTCTGTGCGTGGTTTCTATGCAAATACCGATGCGGAAATAAACAGTGAACACTGCAAATCGATGCAACTTCTTAGGGCGCTCCACAAAAAGTGCGCTTTCGCCATCAACACTGAGCCAGGGAGCTGGGAGTGATCTTGGAACGCTTTCAAAGGGGCTTCTTCTTTGGAAACAAAAAAAAAACTCAGACATCTTTCGCCGACTTTTTTTTTGCAGCGGCTTTTGCATGGTTTCGCTTCCGGTTTGCAACGGTTCCCAGTTTACATATTAAAACCCAAAAAAAAGCAACAAAAAAGGCGACAACAAATGAAGCTAAACGTCTGAACAATTTAAAGTTTCTCACGTACTCTTTACATGGCAATGGTACGTGATACATAATGACCTTTTTAAAATTATGATTTTAAGAGATAAACTTGTATGCAAAATAAGATTTAGCAGGGATATTTGAAGTGTATTTAATATTGTTGCAGGCTGGTTATTTGATAGTAGGATTTTTTTTTTCTTAAATTCACGCCTGTTCCAGTTTGTGTCCATGTGGAATATGTCAATTATTGCGCCAAGAATGAGCTGCTGCTGTGAGCTTGGAAAGCGCTGAGCTTGGCAAATTTCCTCCGTCGCTTGCCTCATCCAAGAGGGGGGCAGAAAAATAACGTTGCGTACTCGCTCTGTCGAGACGTGTGACTCAGTCTCAAGATCTTTTCTTCTAACGGTCAGCCGAACTAGAGACGTGAACTTGACCCAATGTGATAGGCAACCTTTTCTACCAATCGAAACTTCCATTGATATCCTCAACGCTGCACTGCGCCAATCAATACGTAGAAAGGCGAGGCTTCCGCTCTTAGTTAGATGGAAAGGCAGGTTGTTGCAAGCGTATCTTGGGAACTGTAGTTCAGATATGTACTGTACAGCAGGATTAATAAGTATTTACGAAGGACGTTCAATGGGAGATTGTATATTATTTGCATAACGTTTTGTGCCTTTTAAAATATGTTACGATATGTTTTCAATTGTTTGACAAAACACACTAATGCCTTTTATATAAAGAACTCATCCTTAAAAGTTGTGTTGTGTATTGTAACCATAATAATGCTCAACGACGTGAGAGAACTTTTCACGGAATAAATTAGTCACACTATTCTTAAGACAATTAATTATGCCAAATATTAAGTCTGGATACTACGTAAAATTCAATCCAAATCCCAGGAGGTGTTGATCAATGATGAAAACTGGCATTTTTATTCAATTATATATAACATTTGCAATTATACACAATATACATACAATTAAACTATTTGGCAGTATCCCTTCGAATGAGCTCGCATGAATATTGTTCATGTATTAAGTGCTGGCAGGCCAGGATTTAAAAGAGCAAGAATTTATAGTGCGAGCAAAGCAATACCGTAGATGTCTTCCTCTGCATTCGGGGGGTGGGGAGGAGCGTGTAGGGATGGGACTGTCGAAATCTTTGAAATATTTGGAATGAGAACTGCTGCACTTTTTTTCAGATAAATTGATTTCATGAGATTCTAAATGAGTTATGACGCCCAAATATGCGACCCATAGCCAGAGGGACTTATGCTGTATATGAATTCGAGGAATTGTTTCTTCTCAAAATAATTGACTACCTTGTATAATGCTGCTTGAAACGGGCGGTACAGTGGCTCAGCCCTGCTGCCTTGCAGCACCAGGCACCCGGGTTCAATACCACCCTCGGGCGACTGTCTGGGTGGAGTTTGCATATTCCACCCGTATCTGCCTGGGTTTCCTCTTACAGTCCAAAGATGTACAGGTTAGGTGGATTGGCCATTGTAAACTGCCCATTGTGTCCAGGGAAGTTTAGGTTAGTTGGATTAACCAAGGGAAACACAGTAGGATGCTCTTCGGAGAGTTAGTGTAACTGGCTGGGTCGAATGGCCTGTTTCCGCACTGTTGGCATTCTAGTCGTCGGAATGATTCATCAGTATAGTGAGGAGTAGTATTCTATAATCTAATAGAACAATTAATCTGTTTTGCGTTGACATATATATGATTGACTACACAAGCATGCATATGATTATGGTATCTAAGGAAGGTGGCGTGCCTTCACTGAAATGAAACACTTTGCATATGCTGCTTTTCTGCTGCTGGAGAGCAGGCACATTTCATTTTACTGACCGTCCCAGACTGCGTGATTTTAACATTCTTAAAATACAGTTTGAGAAATATGCTGTGTACTATGCAGTGTAGTACCACTAGAATGAAATAACTTTTATTAGATAAAGGAACCCCAAAGTACTATGAAAATACATGTGTTGACCTATCAAAATCAAAAAAAAACTTCACAATAGGTACTTTTAGAACCCCAGGTTTAATTTAATCAATAGCCCGAGAGATACTGGACAGAATATAATGTTGATGTGCAATTGGCTGATGTAAACTAATTCAGATGCTTAAACCTACAACAGAAAGATGTGCACGTGTTCAATTAGGAATTATTGAACATACATTGAGAGGAATCTGTGCTGTTATTATCAGGTTATTGCTAAATTGCTGACGCGGCGAAAAACCTAAGATTAACAAGCCCGGTTTTGGTTGCAACATGTTGGAATATTTAGTCCAGTGCTGAGCTCCTAACCTCCTGTCGTATATTTTCATTCGTCCTGTATTTCAATTCTGGTTTCGCTTTGTACTTTTACTTCCGAGCTGTGTCCCATCCACTCGCCTTAATTGTCTCGACCATTGCATCAAGATGCTAAGGCACCCCGTTTTTCAACAGATCTAATACCTTGATGCGAGTAATTGGTGCGCTAAGTGCATAGGAAGAAACAAGGGTATTTCAGAAAGCGTGCACATTTCCCTCGAAATACTTATGGATAATTACAGAGAACATCTTAAAACTTAACACTTATAATGTGCTGTTTGCTCCAAGTTGTGGTATGAGCCACTACTGGTCAATTATTCTAATAGAGGCACGCATTGCACAAGAGCAAAAACTACAAGGCCCAGAGTGCGTTGCAGGAAGGGTACATGCGCGCTGGCAGGCTGGTCCTTCCCCATTCAGTGTGTTACATCTGGGTCACTAGCGCAGGCAGCAGGGAAAATGTCAAACAATGAGCGGCAGCAGCCGGGCGGAGAAGCCGTGGACGTGACATTCGCCTAAGTGACGCGATGTGGGAAAAAAAAACCCAATACTCAGCCACATGATTCTTAGTTATGTATTGCAATTTACTCTTGTTTAAAAAGGCGCCAAAGCTACAAATCATCATCTTGCCTTATTTAAATAGACTTAACCGGGGTGGGGAAAGAATAGAGAAAAAAAAATCTCAATTCGCTTTCCCAACTAACTTTTGGTGCAGGGAAGCCAGTATAATAAATGATTTGCTTTAAGGCAACAAAACACTCCATATTTATTTACCTCAAACTTGCAGGCTGACTTTCCTTGTCTTAAAATTTAAAAAATACGTAAAATTCACGATGACTGAAGTATTCCTTTTCTAGCTTGATAAGAGATCTAGGCACTTGGGGGTCTTTCTCACGTTCAAGTCCAAGTTGAGAGTAGGCATCCACATTTATTTATAGGCGCCGCTTGCTGCCAGAGTTCTGCTGCTGCATTTGCTCGGGGTGTTGACGCAAGGAGCTGGCTTGCTGCTGTAGGGAGGGTGAACAGAGAGAGAGAGAACCCAGGGTGTTGTGTTTTGTAAAAAATTCAGGAAGGATCGATGGAGCTGCAGGCCGAGAGCTGCGGCCGGGGAAGGGTGTAGTCTCCCATCGGGCGGAGGAAAGCTGGAGAGCGGGCTTCGCTTCACTGACAGCCGGCCCATAAGTGTGAAATTTTCCTCCCCCTCTCTCCCATCTCACATACAACCAGAGAGAGAGAGAGAGAGATCGCGGCTGTAAGAAAGCAAGCCGAGAACGGGCTGATATTATATACATATATAGATTTTTAAAAAAATAACAAATGCTAAAAGGTGTATGAGAGAGAGGGCGGGGAAGGTGTGTGTGTGTGTGCGCGAAAGGAGCACTGCCTGGACTGTCAGAATGAGCCACGGAGAGTTGGGATGTAGACTATATACTAACTAAAGGCGGGGTTAAAGTTCAGGATGGAGAAGAGAGCTGGCTTCAGTTCGAGACTGAAATGTGAAAGCCGGCTTTTCCTCTCACCACCACCAGCACCGCCACAATAATGTACTCTCCGCTCTGTCTCACCCAGGTAGGATACATTTCTGCAACATTTGTATCCCTTTAGAGTCCGTCCTGCTTCTTTTTAATATATTAAACTTTTTTTTCCCTCTTTTATTTAAATACCTCCTGTCTCTCAGATCAGTGCCTGGGTTCCGCGATCTGCCCCCACTGAGGCACATGGCTAATGGCGGATACGTATTAATATTTATTATTTTTCTGACTGCATTTTTTTTGGAAAACAGAAACAAATCTGGGATAAAGCCACACATTTTACAAGAGCGGCTTTCTAAAGAGGTGCTGAGCGTACCTCGGGACATTTCGCAGGCAGCAAAGTGTTACGATCGCTGCTTTTCTTGTGGGGGGGAGCAGGAGGGAGGGGGGAATGAGTGAGTGTGTGTTGGGGGGGGGGTACTGTGGTGAAGTAGGCGGTGGGGAATCACGCTTTTGTTGTGACTCTAAGGTACACAGTTTACTCACAACAAGCGGTGCGCGCAAGTTTCATGTTAATATCTTGCATAACAAAATCGCGCTGCTGCCTTCCTCTGTACACTGCACCTCCTTCCCAATCATCTTCGGCAAGTTAGGCGCTCGCTTTGCTGCTGTTTCTCTTTTGATTCCACCCCCCACCCCCTAACACACATACACACACACACCTGATTTTGCACAACATTTTGGAAGGCAGCGGGTTTGAATTTTCTTCTGTCTTGGGGCACTGTGATGCTGTCAGGTGTGAACTGTCCACACGTCTAAGTGACTTTTTTTTTGTCCCTGGGAGGGCGAGAAGCTTGAACTTTTAGGCAACAGTTCCCCGCCAGAGTGCCCGATCAGATGGGGTTGCGGGCACTGTGGTTTGGGACGGGATCGGCTTCCTTTCCCAGCTCCTCAATATTTTGATTTGTCTCCGCCCGCCCCCGACTCTACAGCAATGTCATTGCTTTCGGTAAGTTATTACCGTTCTGTTAGCGCCCGTAAAGCTTTCTACTTCGCTGTGCGTGTTTTTTTCTCTCCCTCCCTTCGTCGTTACTTCAAGCATTATTGAAGAAGTCAGGGTTTTCCCCGTGGAAGCGCTGTCTGCTGGACTAGTGTGCTTCTTCTCTTCACACTCAAGTTTCCAGAGCGGAATTTTGCTTCGAAATCCGCCTTTTTACATTCTGTAGCGTGCGAGATTAACTAACCCGGATTGTTCAATCTGTTCAATACAAAAGTCATCCTATACAGTGAAGTCAGAATCGCTGATTTTTAGATAGTATATATTGAAATGATTTCGGTAAATAACCTTAATTCCCACAGTATCGCCGTAGAATTTTAATGAACCTTTGCTTGTTAGCCTTATGTTTTAAAAACAAACCCTTGCACGTGATTTTAAACTTTTTAAAAGCTTTATGAACAATGACCAATCTTAGCAACGTTTCTGTGAATCTACTTGAAGCAGTTCTTTGTTTGGGAGAGGGGGCACCATGAACATCTTTGTATAACCTTTTTTAACCTATTAAACTCCCATTCCAAAAGATTCGGATTATGCCTTAGAGACATTTTTAACAGCAACATAAATTAATTGCGTCCATCTTGAACTAACTGTTGGTCTTTATATTCCTGAAGTTGGCCTTCCCTGTTGACTCAAAGGACAGAAACCACGTTAAACTATTGTGCTTCCCTATGAAGTAGAAAATTGGGAATTAGTCAATAATCCTAAAATGAAATACCAGTTTAAGATAAATTCTACTGAATCTTAAGTAACTAGTGTACACATAAAGCATTTTTAGCCATTTATTGCATAAGAATCTCTAATTTCTAATGTTATATAGGATTATTACATTTTAGCGTAATTTTTGGTTTTATGTCCTTTTACCTAATGGGGTAGTTAACTGCAAGTTATTTAGTTGTGGAGATCCTTAGTTTCAACCCTTTTCCCAAACCTACTGCATTATCTTAATGACACGCACATTCACAAACCTGCTTTATAATTATCTTTTAAAAAAAAGTCATGCCCCATGTGAAGAAAAGCAAAATTGTATTTCGGTAAGACGTAATTAATGTAGTTGTTATTGCATTGCACTTAAATAAACAGATAGGTTGGTATTGAAATGTCCTGTCAAAAATACCTATTTAGAAAAAACAGAGACTAGAATATGAGAGTTTGAATCAGTCGTTGCTTAATTCAACATTACAAACTTCTTTAAAATGGATTCTGTTTGCTATTTCCTTTGAAGAACTAACTACATTTTTTTAAAATCACACAAAATGATAAGAACGGCCTAGAACCAACTAAAAATGCACTGTATTGTCATAATACATGAACAATAAAAAGTGAGAAAATAACAAACATTATGTAGTGTCGAGTGGGCAATTTGATTTTCAGCGCTAGAGACAGTTGTTTGTAAACAATAAAGTAGTCTAATTATCAGTGCCGTAGTGGAAGTATGCATAGTTTTTGACCACTTAAAAGAAAATTGGTGCTTATTCTGTTTGCTTCTTCATTTTATACAGTATACACTAATTGATGAGGCAGTGCCAAAGGAAGGACGTGCTTGCTGCACTGGAGTGCAATGCTGAGGTTTAAATGAAAATAGACCCACAACAAAACCACAACTTCACTGATTGTCACTTAAGGAACTAAGTGGTTTGGCCTCCAAATGTTTAGAATATTTAGAAATCGGCTCAAACTTGGGTCCTACTTTCTAATAATGCAAAAGGAAAATAGGCATTAATTCTGAGAAAATATAGTTTATTTCTTGATTGTGTAATTAAACAAATGATCTGTTTGATACAGTCTGCGCCTCATAGGCCCCTATAATCAAAACTATTTTCAGTTTACAAAACTTAATTTAACTGCTACAGGTGCTTAATATGCAAATCTTTTCGTGCCCATTTGAATTGTAGAAATCGGAATTACTGCAGCAATGTATACTAATAATGGCAACTAAAATTTCTAGCCAATGCACGTTTCTTATTAGTGCAAAGTTGAGCTTAATGTAACTTATCTTTGTTTTCTATGATCCGATTTTTTTTAACAGCAAAAGTTAAGTGTCTTAATTCCACATTGAGATTGAGATGGAAAGCTGTCAGCAATGGGGAAGATTTTAGGATTGACATTGGGCTAAAGTAGTTTAAAGCTTCTTTTCGGCATTAGCTCTGAGGTGGAGCAGGAAAACTGTACGTTGGATGATTTCCAACATAAAGTCGATGCAAGAATCTATGAAACTGGTCGACTTCTGACTGGATTAAAACATAAATGTACATTTTCCAAAAGACTGCAAAATAAATTACAAAGCTCCTCACTCCGAATGCTAAATTCTTACAATCATCCGCAACATTAATTCTCTGAGGTCAATAAGTCACTATTTTTAAAAAAATAATAATTCATATTTTCAAAGTTGTTGTTAAGATTTTCTTTTTATTTATTATATGTTTTATTTTATTTCTCCCTACTGCAAGTGGATTTATAGTTCTGAATTTTGCTGCAGTTACAACATAAGAGATCAGATCTGGACTTGGGGCATCTGGAGGCCACAGCAAAGGACACCAATGTGGTGACATAGTATCACCACACTGGCATCCCTTGTTCCATGCATACATGCAGCCAAGGTCAAATACTGACTCTAGACTTTAATCCATAGCTCTACTACATCCATATTCACTCCATAAATGCACTCTGTTAGGAGTGAGTCTTTACCTTGGAATGAATTCTAGAGTTCGCAATTCATGCCATATTTAGGATAGTCATTTTGGTGCAGAATTAAATTAATCTGAATTCACTAGAGTAAAATGGTATAAGATGAAAGTGTATAAGGAGAGATTTGTACCTTCATGCTACTTTATTATACTTTGACCAAGTTAAATCATATGGTAGTGGTTAACTTAAGGAATCTTTCAATGAAGGGTTTAGAGTGAAGCAAAAAAGAAATGGCTATCTAACTCTGTTTTCAAAATTTAAAAAAATTGTTAAAAATGATTTTAAATTTTGCCCAGGAAGAAATGGATTATTCAGTCCTTTCTCTCCCTAACCTTTGAGATGCTCTAGAAGGAAGCATATATGTGTTTAGGGTAGACAGTTAATAAATTTGAGCTTCATTATTTGTTTTGGCAGTTTGAAAATCTCCTTTACAGGACAGATTGTTACCTACGTGTAGATGATTGTAGTAAAGGAATTCAGTTAAGCTTGAAGAATTACAGGCCAGATGTCGTGTGGCTGGAGAAAGGTTGGTAAATGAAAATTCACTTTAATCTAAAAATCCTCTAAATGTTCCCACCAATGCAACATTTTTTCATTAATTTATTTCATTAAGGAAAATCCCTTCCAGCCTGTATAGCTATGGCATCGTTCATACAATGGAAATGCACAACCTTATTCATTAGATATAATGCAAAATTTACACCTTCCCAGCAAATTTTTTCTGCTGTACAATCAAACATTTTGTGTTTTTCATTGCAAAAGTTTTGCTATCCTGTTTTATTTAAAAACAATTCATGCAACATTTAGTTTAAACAAAAGAAAAAGACAGATGGTAGTTGTGCTGAAAATGTTTTCCCTTTTCTTTTGTAGCTTTTTATGTATAATTGCGCCATTCTAAATTTAGTTGTTTATCAACATCCTTGGTTTTGACTAGTTAATTGTACAAGTAAAACAACATGTTATGTAATATTTTAAACACTTTAAGTATTTAACCATGTGCAAAAAGCTTGGGCTATCTGCTTTGTTGTTGTTTATGCTGAAATCACTGGGTAATTGCATATCAGCTGGCCAGAGTTACTGTAATATTATTGATTAAAAATTGGATTTCAGTGGTTTATCATGATTGTAGTTCCTCGTCTATATTTACAGTATTTGTATATATTGGTATTGGTACTTGAGTGGGGTGGGTGGGTGGGGTGGTAGTGGTGAGTGGGATGTTGTACTGATGGAATGGCGATGGGTGGGTAGGATGTGTTTTATCATGTTACTGAATAAGGATTACAAACAAACTACTTATTAATAAAGTATTCTGTACTTCCTATTTGGCATCACCAGGCTGGAACTCCAAATAATGTCTGAGTATTTTTATTTTTCACAAGGGCACAGCTCAACATGACATTTCTTGAGAAAATAGCATGAATTCACAATGAAGAATATGCAGATTTTTTTTTCTGACTGTACAGACTTGCTGTGTTTGAAACCATCTTGTGAAGGGGTGTGGGAGGGGGGGTTTATCCTCTCTTGCTTTGCACAAAGCCCCCTCGTACGAGCTGTTGATTGGCATTCTAGTGTGTGGAATTTGCCAAATAGGCGGGCTCATGCTGGCTACACCACATGCAAAGGGTTGGGGACGGAGAGTGAAGAGATCTGCTTTTTTTTTAAAGCTGGCGAAGGTTAATGAAAGCACCCATGCTTTAGTCGAGGCATCCTTCTCTCTACTGTTTTGGGAAAGCTCTTCATAAACAAACCGAGCACACGCAGGGAGTGTCTTGAATATTGGCAAGTGTTTTGGACGTTACCTACATGGGTGCTTTCAGTTACGCTGTCGGCATCTTTCTGACTGTTCTACACAAAGAATACTCACTGTACATGGCATAAATTTTTCTAAGTCAAGCTTCGAACAAAATACTGCGCTGGTCTGACTATACAATGGTATTGAATTAAATCTATTATTTCAATGAAATGTGCCTTGATTTTTAATTTTTATATGTATTTGCCTAATAGGAAAATAATTCTGATAAAGGTTCAAGTGCAATGCTACTTCTTTTGTTGAAACTTAATTTTTGCTTATTGTTTCTCCCTTGGTTTTCTTTTTTCCCGCAGGATGAATTCCATCCCTTCATTGAAGCACTTCTGCCCCATGTCCGAGCCTTTGCATACACATGGTTCAACTTGCAAGCCCGAAAACGAAAATACTTCAAGAAGCATGAGAAGCGCATGTCAAAAGAGGAAGAAAGAGCGGTGAAGGATGAACTCCTGAGTGAAAAACAAGAAGTGAAGCAAAAATGGGCATCCAGGCTTCTGGCAAAGCTGCGCAAAGACATCCGACCTGAGTATCGAGAGGATTTTGTGCTCTCAGTCACTGGGAAGAAACCATCTTGCTGTGTGCTTTCAAACCCAGACCAGAAAGGCAAGATGCGGCGAATTGACTGTCTGCGTCAAGCAGACAAGGTCTGGAGGCTGGACCTGGTTATGGTGATTTTATTCAAAGGTGTTCCGCTCGAAAGTACTGATGGTGAACGACTCGTAAAGTCCTCGCAGTGCTCTAACCCAGGGCTGTGCGTGCAGCCTCATCATATAGGAGTTTCTGTTAAGGAACTCGATTTATATTTGGCATACTTTGCGCAGGCAGCGGGTAAGTGCATTTTTCAGAAGTGTTTCTTAGAATTTTATTTATAAAGATAAACTTGATCTTCATTCTTGTGAAACGGTTGTGTTGCATGTGTCCTCGCCTTAAACCTAACCTTGTGTAATGGTTGTCTTGTGTGTATACCTTTTTTGTAAATGTAACTTTCTACTGCATGCTCCTGTAGATAATCTAGTCCCTGTCTTGTTGCAAAGTGCAGCCTCAAGTTGATTAAAAAAAATCTGTGATTTTAAACAGGAATTTTCCTTTTTGTTTTACGTAATAATCGCAATTGGTGACAGCAGGCCGGATCTGAAAACTGCTCTTAAACTTTCAGTTGTGTTTCTCATGCCCTTCATCATAAAATTTTTTCTTTAGGATCAAATCAGCATTCTCTCTTTCTTTCCCCCTCCCATCCTTCACAGCCTGCGATGGAAGATGAAAATTCCTACAGGAAGTATATTTTATTTATGTGTTAAAAAGAAGTCCCTGCATTTTTGGTCGGATTGTGTTAACATACAAAACAAAGGATACACAACTGAAATAGCCTGATCGTTGGTTTAAAAATTGGAGTTAGTCATTGCCTCAGAGTGTTGGTTCAAGAGTTGTGTCAACTTGGGTGTAACAGTGGCAACCTGCAAAAAGGAACTAAGAGCTTTATTGCTGTAAATTGTCTGCAGCCCAAGTGAAGTGTCAAACTCTGGATTGTACACACTACATACAGAGGCAAAGTAATGCAGAATATGGCATTCTCCACTGGCTTTCTTTATAGAGATCTTGTGTTCTTTTTCAAATATGTTTGTATTTGCAGGTACCTTGTATGAATGCAGGTTGTGGTCATTGAACAAAATAAAGGCAGGAAACAATTCAGCTGCTCACTTAGGGTCTTAGTCACTTTTGACATGGACCAATATTGTAAATGCCTTGCATTTATTCCTGTTGCAACCCAATCACTGCAAATCACTGATCTTCACAAGATCACATATTTGGGAAAAGCACAGGGAGAGCTTTAATTTTTATATCATTTAAAAATCTTCATTTCTAGTTTGATAACTTTCTATTTTCAGAACTATTTTGCATTTAGGAATTCTCTTTGTGATTGTTTCACTCACCTTTGGTACTTTTGTTTTTTTCTAAGCCAGCAACACTTTGACAGATTAGAAACTCGAGTCAGTTTAATGGCCATTGATTTTGCAAATAACAGAGATAACTGGTAAAGGTTGTCATGCCAAAACAGTCAAAAGATTTTTAAAAATACGTTCTATTACATTCTCCATATTGCACGATATTTCTTATTAAAACTATGTTGTGGGGGAATAGACCAGGATTAAATGGAAAGAAGAACAAAAATGTACTCACACGTTCACTGAAATAAGTGGAATAAAATGTATGCGGTACATTTTAAATAATATGTATTTTTAAATTGGGTGCTCACTGAAAGTTGTGTGCAAAAAATCTATTGGATCTTGTTTGGCCTGCTTGGAAGGTTCAGGAGTTTTCAATGGACTGAGCAGCTGCCAGTGTTGGCAGAAAGCATGAACTCTAAAAAGTGCTTTGTCCAACATGCCAAAGCCAACATGGGAATACGTGGCCACTTTTTTTTTCGCTGACGCTCTGCTCTTTCCTGTAGTCTGATCTTAAGCGCCATGTTTTAGGGAGCAGCGATTGTATCGCTGATAGATTTTTAAAATTAAATTCAACAATTTTCTCCTAAAATTAAAATGGGGTGCTTTCAGTTCTGAAATTTAGTGTAGATAATTGAACTTTTCAACAAGTGCTCAATGCATCGAGTGGTTAAATAATCTCTCTCAATCTTTTGTCTAAATAAATTTAAATAATTATTCAGCAGTGCTTCAGCCTTTTGAAAATGACACAAAGCTGTATAAAAACCAAAGTAGCTAAATATGCATGATGAGCAACAATTTCGAGTGTGGAAATATTTTACTCTGAATAGTATTAATAGGCCTATTATAGTTGTTAAAACTGATTTAGCAATCTCCGGAAAGCGACCCGGTATTTCTGGTATATTGGAGGTATACATATTTTGTTAAAAATATAAAAGTCTGATCTTTAGTGTGTTTTGATTTTTGTTGTCTTATTTACTTGTTTACTTATACTGTAATACTTAAGAATTTGTTTGGATGTGAAGTCACGGGTTATTTGCTCTTCAGTTAATTTAACTTAGAATAATCCAGAGAACCATGACATGGTAAGCACTAGCAACTAGTTTCATGTCACCTGTCCTGATGTTCTATTTGCTTGGTATGTTAGAGGTCTTGTTATAGACCAGCAGGACAATTTCAAAAACCTATTCAAGAGCACGCTCCCTTTGTGGAAGAAGTGTGGAAATAAAATAATGACTGCAGCACAGGGACTAAGGAATAAACATTTGACAATTTTTATGTACTTCAGATTATTTCAGAATTGTTGTGGTGTTTGGTAAAGTTGTGTAGGGTATAATTGAAAATTATCAGTAATGTTATAAATCAATCTTTGTATGAAAATGGCCATTGTGATCATGCAGAGAATTGATAGCTGAGAACATTATAATCACTAAATTTTTATCAAGACTAAAAGAATTCGGTTTTAAAAGTTTGACCGATAAAATGTAATGTAGTGTTTGCTAAGTTCTTAATTGTGAATAATTTTTGAGAAAAGCCTTTCTAGTAAAATGATACAATTCAAGTGTAGATTAAACAGTCATAAATGATCCAGTTATCTTTTTATTTTGTTTGCTTGTTAACAGACAAGTTCTTTCTACTCATTGATTCGCTCTGTCAGTCCAATGCCTCACACAGCCATCAAGTGACAACCAAGAATGATACTGCATTGACGAGGGCAAACTTTCTTTTGAAGAAGTGTGAGGCACAATCTAATTTATAGCCTGTGTGATTAGCAACTGACCCCAGTCAGAATGGCATCAGTCCAGGCACGTGTAAGGGTCATGACTTAAGTTGTTTAGGTCGTGACCTCAGCCACCAGGCATTTGACCTCTTAGATAAACGGTGATCTTTGCTTATTAGTGGGCACTCATGCGAGTGCTGTCTTCAGCTTGTCAGTATTGTTGTGACCCACTGCCTGTGCAAACAGTTTGTGGAAAGGGAAACTGGGTTGAAATAGAGCTCAAGAGTTAAGGGAATCCTTCCTTCACAGTCAAGTTTAAATGGAATAAGAGTTTAGATGCAGTATCATCTGGTTTTCATTTAGAAGTTCCTTTTAAAGACTTTTTTTTTGCCTTCTGCTTTTCCTTTATTTTTTCTCCAACAAGTGGAACAAAAGCAACCTACAAAAAGGTGTGTTTTGACCTCCGTTGCCTGTAGAAATGATTAAAACAATGTGATCATCAAATGTGGACTGCATATTTTGATTATAACTCATTTTAATGGGGTGTTTAGTTTGGAATCTGATAATGTTGCTATGATGTATCCCATAGACCCCGATCAAATTCTTCACCATGATAACCAACAGTAAGATCTGTTAACTGGAACAAAAGTTGAACAAACAGTTACATAAATCAACTAGTTTAATTAAGTAACTTTTTTTTACTGAACCTGTTAATGGTTCTGTTGTACTATTTTTACGAGACACAGATGTGTTCCTCATTTCTTTCGTTATTTTTAAAAATAAACGTGAGCCAAAAGTTTCTGATCGGTGTTATTTTATTTGAAATATTGCTACCCTGTGTTAAATGAGCTGACCAGAAAAGTTTGACTATTGTATTCAGATGGAACCTAGACATTATTTCTAGATAGACCTGATTATGCTTTCCGCATTCACAAATACCATGCTTATGGTGCACAAAAATTAATGCCAATGAAGTGTTGTAAGACTACAGATCCCACTGTCAGGGTTACAGAAGTAAGCAGAAATGCTATCTAGGTTATATGGGACAATCAAAATCAAGACGACAGGGAGACCTGTGCTCAACTATTACATATAATCCATGTATATGTGTACTGTATTATATATATTTTATATATATTTATATATATGTACTTTTGTAACTTGTTTAACATCTGTACTGAGCATGTTAGTTGTTGGTACACACTATACATCTAGTGAAAAGGAATACCAATAGTTTAGGTTTAACTTATTCATGCACAGTGTGTAGAGTAGACTGCCTGTGCAAGCAGGTAGTATGTAAAATAAATTTAAGGAAGAATTGGATAAATATTGGGGGAACTGAGTGAGTGACACTAATTTGTATTTGGGACAAGCCAGATATGCAACAGTTTTTTCCAGTCCTGTACTTTCAAGTATTCCTTTCAGTGTGGTTGGAAAAAGTTTCACAATTAAAACTACAATAATACCATTGCATCATTTATAAGAAAATGTTGCTCTAATTTCATCTCAATTTATCAATTTTTTTGATTTGATATATAATTAATATTCAATTCTTTCAATAATTCAATATTTTAAAGTTGCAGTGAAATATTTGTTGGGATAAACACTTCAAACTTAAACATATCTGACTTTAAAATTTTTATGTACAATTGAGCACAAAAGCATGATATAATTGCAGAAAATTGCAACAATGGAGAACATTTTGATTTTTTTAAACCCACAAATACAAATTGCTAGACTCCCTAAAGATCCTTAGTTTGTAAGCCATCACCAGCCACAGGTTTTGTCTAGTGGTAACAAAGCCTTGAATATCACAAGTGTAATTTCCACCACTTTTGCAAGACAGCAGTTTTACATTTCCTTTTCTTTCTATGCCATGATGAATAACAATAATTTTCAGCTATTTAGGGTGAGTGTGGTAGAAACCACAACCTTTGTTGTGGTCAGTGCAGTACACAGCAGGGCTAAATGTTTCACTTGGTTAAAGTCTTGGCTTCACTGCTGGGAGACCCCAGTGAATTGGATTGGTGCATATTTTCAAATCGGCTCTAATCCACTTCTGCTGCCTGTTAGTGTCTGGATGTCATAGTTTGATTTTGTAAGCTATTATTGTTAATGTCAGGTTTTCAATAAAAACATACTTTAAACTTCAGCAATCGTATATT